GGTTCGGTGCGGTGCAGTGCGGCGTGGTGCGGTGCGGTGTGGTGCGGTACGGCGCGGTACAGTACGGTGTGGTGCGGTACGGTGTGGTGCGGTACGGCGCGGTACAGTACAGCGTGGTGCGGTACGGTGTGGTGCGGTACGGCGCGGTACGGTATGGGGTGGTGTGGTGCGGTACGGCGCGGTACGGTACGGTGTGGTGCGGTACGGCGCGGTACAGTACGGCGTGGTGCGGTACGGTGTGGTGCGACGTGGCGTTTGGATTGGTCCGATATGGAACCTGTCGAGCCCATCGTGGACAGTACCGGTTCTGTACGGATTGGCGTTTAGGTCCAAAGTGTTTCACATGCTGAGAACCAAACCGAGCTACCAGATCAGAACCACAAGTGGAACATCAATAACTGTTGAAGGTCAAAGGTCATCTGCACCGCCTGTTTCCACAGTTCATCCATGAATCAATACGACTGAGTGTTATCAAATCTCAGTTCTGGTTCTGGTCCAGTCTCTGGGAGCCAGAGGAGCAGTCAGTGGTGGCAGACGGTTCTGGTTCTGGGTGTGTTAACTGACCTGTCAGAGGTGAAGCGTCCAGAACTCTGAAGGTTCTGGTTGGTTCCCACATGGATGCTCACCTGAAACAACAGAGACATGTAAGGATGGCATCACAGCGTCTGGATGGAGGTTCGTCTGTTGGTCCGGCTCACCGCTTGGTGCAGCCGGGTCTGGACCTGGTTCTGGTCACGGTGCCACATAGTGGCGGGCCTGCTGGGTCAGACTGGCCTGGTCCTCGGTTCTCCCGAACATCACCACCTGCAGCTCGCCGCTCACCTGCACACACACAGGTGAGCCTGAGAGGCAGAGCAGAACCCGGTTCTGGTTCTGAGCCAGGCCTGGCCGTTACCTCGAACGGGTTGGTTCTGTTGGCCGGACACTCGGGAGAGCCCTGGTTGGGAGCGTGCTGCTGGGCCCACCACACCTCCAGCTGCTCGTCCAGCGGGAAGCATTCGAACTCGTCGCAGGTCGGGACGAAGCGGGCCTGAGCCGGAACCGCCGAGCCGGACGGGCCCTGGACCTTCTGCTGGCCTGAACCGGAACCGACTTGGACCTGTGAGGCCGAGCCGGTCCCGTTCTGACTCTGCAGGATGGAGCTCAGCAGGCTCTCCCCGTGCACCTGCAGGTCAAAGGTCAGGAAGGTGATAAGGAGAACCTGGTTGTGGAGGTCATGTCAAGGTCACGAGAGGGACATTAACCCTCTGAAGCGTAAGTGGGTCTTTTTGGACCCGGTGAGGTCATCTTTTTGCAATATCTTTGTAATGAAAAGTTTTCATCTCTTCATATTCCAGGTATTCCTCAAGAAACATGTTACTGATATCATGCAATTAAAATGTTTAATTTACCTTTTATACATTTTAAGAAACAGCTTGTTTTATGTCACTACCCCATTCTTCTGTGAGTGGGTCTAAAATGACCCGCATTCATTTCCTGTGGAATTTAATGGGAATCTGTTTCTTACCAACTGTGTCTGTCAGGAAAACATATTTTTGTGAACCAAACACACTGAGACCTGAGTGTCACCCTGAATAATATTATTTTACACAGCAAGAACTCTTACATATAAGTATTATCTTTATTTTTTATCTCACAAATGTCTGTGTGTGTCAGCCATGAGAGCGTTATTGTCACAAATCAACATATTAGCCTTCTTCAAAGTTAGCTAGTTATCTAACCAACTAGCTAACATTACCACCTGTACTTTATTGGGCATGTGTGTGTGTGTGTGTGTGTGTGTGTGTGAGACACCCTGGATGAGAAAACCAAGAGAGAGACAGTGTTGAATGACATGCAGAACCTGTTGATCAATGTGTTCAAGGTTCTTTCTTTTATCATCTCAGTAAATAAAATAAAAATTCATAGCCATATAAATAAATGCATAAATAAATGAGCTGGTAAAGTATAGAGTGCCTTCTCCGGGTCGGGGAGGATGTCCTGCTCCGAGTGGAGGAGTTCAAGTATCTCAGGATTTTGCTCACCAATGAGGGAAAAATGGAGCAGGAGATCGACAGGCGGATGGATCGGTGCAGCGTCTGCAGTGAAGCGGCGCTGCACCGATCTGTCGTGGTGAAGAGAGAGCTGAGCCAAAACGCGAAGCTCCTGATTTACCGGTTGATCTAAGTTCCTACCTTCATCTATGGTCATGAGCTTTGGCCAAAATTAGTTTTCCCTGTAGGTGTCTGGGCTCTCCCTTAGAGAGAGGGTGAGCAGGTCAGATACCAGGAGGGACTCAGAGTAGAGCCGCTGCTCCTTCATGTCGAGAGGAGCATCTGGTCAGGATGCCTCCTGGACGCCTCTCTGGTGAGACGTTCTGAGCACGTCCCACCGGGAGGAGACCCAGGGAAGACCTAGGACACGCTGGAGGGACGATGTCTCTCAGCTGGCCTGGGAACGCCTTGGGATTCTGGAAGACATGGCTGGGGAGGGAAGTCTGGGCCTCCTTACTTAGGCTGCTGACCCCGCAACCCGACCCCGGATAAACGGAGGAAGATGGATAGATGCATGGATGGATAAATAAATCACACACATGCACACACTCACACGTGTGATACACACAGCATAATAGAATACAGACAGTAATGTTAGCTAGCTTGGTTAGCTAGCTAGTTCCAAGAAACGTGCTCTTTCACAGCCCCCCATGCCCACACACACATAATGGATGTTAACATTGTCCATTATTGACATTTCATCATTGTTGTTGTAAAATTGCTGCTGTTGTCATTTTGTTTTAAAATGTTCTACAAATTGTTCTAAAAATGTTTAAAAAAGTGAAAAATGAAAATATTTCAAACATGAAATAACTCTTGTGTGAAATAAAACACAGTACAAAGTATTATACAAAACATTATTTTGGATCAAAATGACAAAAGTAGCAAAAAAAACACACTGATTTAAACACGGGTCTAAAAAGACCCACTCACAGAAGACTGCATAGTCAGTCTCTCGCATCAGAGGGTTAATAAGGAGGTCTGGACCGGATTGGTTCCGGTAGCAGGAAGAGGATCAGGAGGAAACCTAAACCCCACGACTAGAACAGAGATGCTGCGACATCGGACCTGACAGAACCCACTTTGGACCCGCTCAGAGGGTTCTGTGTCAGGCTGACCTCAGAGCTGCAGCTGGACTGCTGGCTGTCAGGGTCACTGCTCCTCTCTCCTCCTGTCAGGTTCATCATCAGTCTGGAGCAGGCTGCCACCTGAAGTGCGCGCACACACACACACACAGCTCAGCCTGAGCTCCAGCTGGCGGCCAGTTGGCGGCGGCCGGCTGGACTCACCTCGTCCTGGCAGTCGGGCACCTTGAGCGGCGTGGGTGTCTCCGGAGCCGAGGGGAACAGTGCTCTGATCTGCTCTGTCCTGAACGGACCAATGACGAGTTAGGGTCAGGGGTTACAAGGGGTCAAAGTGAGAAAGGCCGGAGCGGACCTGGAGCCGAGGCTGCAGTGGACACAGCAGACGTTCTGGTGTTTGAGGGAGCAGAGCGGCGTGGAGGTGAGCGGCGGGCGCTGGAAGCTCAGCTCCTCTGCAGCACTCAGGCTGAAGACCTGGGACAGGTAGACACTGAGATGGCCAGCCTGAGGGACACCTGGACATGTCTCTGTCTGTCTCTCTGTGATTCTACCTCAGCTGGGGAGAAGACTGCTGCCTCCATCATGCTGCTCCTCTCCCAGGACGAGGACGAGTCCAGGAAGGACGCTCCTTCATCCGTCTTCATCAACTGCTCCTTAACACCTGGAACCTGCACAAGACAGCAGCTGTCTCACCTGTCCTCAGAAAGCCGGGACCGGCCCTGCCACAACGCCTTACATAGCTCCTGCTCAGGTCGATGACGGATGGAGAGTCCTCTCTGAGCAGCGGCGCCTCTGGAGATGGGTGTGATGTCATTTCCTGGTAGCTCCAAGCCTCCAGGTTCTGGGACGAGCAGGACTTCTGCTGGGGACAGAGACAGACATGGGCAGGGACCCAGAGGACAGACATAGGCAGGGTACAGTGGACGGCTTTACCATCTCCATCAGGTCAGTGGACACGCCCTGCTTGCAGCCTGAGCAGGAAGCAGGGGCCCAGGTGGAACACAGGTGGGCGGAGCTTCCATGCGGTCTGCAGGTGCTCTGATTGGAAGAGAAGCTGGACTCGTCTTTGATGGTGGACAGACTGTCGGCCTGCAAGAACACAGATCAGCATCAGCGTCCCGACCTACTAGAGGCATCCTGCTGACTGGGGACGGACCTTAGACTGGGCTCTGCGGGATGCGTGGGTCCTGGTCCCAGGTCTGGGGGCGGAGCTTGAACCATGCAGCTGCAAGAAGTGCAGGTAACCCTCCTTCTCCACCTTACGTTTCAAGGTGGAGTTCCAATGATTCTTTATGGAGTTGTCTGTTCTGGAAGACATGGCAAAGGAGACACACCTGAGGCTGCAGACAGGTCAACGCACCTGCAGACAGATCAACGCACCTGCAGACAGATCAACGCACCTGCAGACAGGTCAACGCACCTGACACAGGTCAACGTACCTGCAGACGGATCAACACACCTGCAGACGGATCAACGCACCTGACACAGGTCAACGCACCTGACACAGGTCAACGCACCTGACACAGGTCAACACACCTGCAGACAGCTCAACGCACCTGCAGATAGGTCAAAGCACCTGCAGACAGGTCAACGCACCTGACACAGGTCAACGCACCTGACACAGGTCAACGCACCTGACACAGGTCAACGTACCTGCAGAAATGTCAACGCACCTGCAGATAGGTCAANAGAGCGTTATTGTCACAAATCAACATATTAGCCTTCTTCAAAGTTAGCTAGTTATCTAACCAACTAGCTAACATTACCACCTGTACTTTATTGGGCATGTGTGTGTGTGTGTGTGTGTGTGTGTGTGAGACACCCTGGATGAGAAAACCAAGAGAGAGACAGTGTTGAATGACATGCAGAACCTGTTGATCAATGTGTTCAAGGTTCTTTCTTTTATCATCTCAGTAAATAAAATAAAAATTCATAGCCATATAAATAAATGCATAAATAAATGCGCTGGGAAAGTATAGAGTGCCTTCTCCGGGTCGGGGAGGATGTCCTGCTCCGAGTGGAGGAGTTCAAGTANCTCAGGATTTTGCTCACCAATGAGGGAAAAATGGAGCAGGAGATCGACAGGCGGATGGATCGGTGCAGCGTCTGCAGTGAAGCGGCGCTGCACCGATCTGTCGTGGTGAAGAGAGAGCTGAGCCAAAACGCGAAGCTCCTGATTTACCGGTTGATCTAAGTTCCTACCTTCATCTATGGTCATGAGCTTTGGCCAAAATTAGTTTTCCCTGTAGGTGTCTGGGCTCTCCCTTAGAGAGAGGGTGAGCAGGTCAGATACCAGGAGGGACTCAGAGTAGAGCCGCTGCTCCTTCATGTCGAGAGGAGCATCTGGTCAGGATGCCTCCTGGACGCCTCTCTGGTGAGACGTTCTGAGCACGTCCCACCGGGAGGAGACCCAGGGAAGACCTAGGACACGCTGGAGGGACGATGTCTCTCAGCTGGCCTGGGAACGCCTTGGGATTCTGGAAGACATGGCTGGGGAGGGAAGTCTGGGCCTCCTTACTTAGGCTGCTGACCCCGCAACCCGACCCCGGATAAACGGAGGAAGATGGATAGATGCATGGATGGATAAATAAATCACACACATGCACACACTCACACGTGTGATACACACAGCATAATAGAATACAGACAGTAATGTTAGCTAGCTTGGTTAGCTAGCTAGTTCCAAGAAACGTGCTCTTTCACAGCCCCCCATGCCCACACACACATAATGGATGTTAACATTGTCCATTATTGACATTTCATCATTGTTGTTGTAAAATTGCTGCTGTTGTCATTTTGTTTTAAAAATGTTCTACAAATTGTTCTAAAAATGTTTAAAAAAGTGAAAAATGAAAATATTTCAAACATGAAATAACTCTTGTGTGAAATAAAACACAGTAGAAAGTATTATACAAAACATTATTTTGGATCAAAATGACAAAAGTAGCAAAAAAAACACACTGATTTAAACACGGGTCTAAAAAGACCCACTCACAGAAGACTGCATAGTCAGTCTCTCGCATCAGAGGGTTAAATTGAATATTAGTACATTTTGGAAATATGCAAATGCTCAGTGTCAGCTGTTGTCAAAAAAACAACAAAAAAAAGATTTCAAAATATTGAAATCATTTTTGTTTGATTTGTGATTATATTGAATTTTGCTCCATATTCAACAAGTCATAACAAAACACATTAAAACTGCCAAATATCTCCAGCAATGACTTTGAAAAGCAAAATATCTTTATTGTAAATTTAAAATCTTTTTTAGCAGTAAATGTCTAAACAGCGACCAGTCCGCCATTTTGGATTTCGACGTTTCAACAGACGTTCTGTCCACTGCTCACATTTTGCTGCTTCCCTGCCAGCATACCGAGGCGGGCCCCATATGGGGAAAAGGAGGGCAGACATGTCCACATTTTCCCCATATGGGGCCCGCCTCTGTATGCTGGCTGGGTTGTAACCTGGACGTCATGATGTTCACTTCTTAAGGCACGGATTCGGACCGGGCCTTACAAATGTGTCTGCTGTCAGAAGTCAGTAAAGAGTTTTATGCCAGGCTGAGAGATTTCTTTTTAAATACAAGAATTACAAGAACAATTATACTAGCAGAATAGTTATAGTGCCAGATTAAAAATGCAATATTGCCAGAAGAAAGTTAAATCCTCTAGACCAGCGGTCACCAACTCCAGTCCCACCATCCTGTAGCTTTTAGATGCGTCTCTGCTCAAACACACCTGGACCAAATAAGCTGCTCGTTTCCAGCCTATTGCAGAGGAATGAATGCTGGTGAGGGAATTCAGGCATTCTGGAGCAGAGGTGAATCTAAAAGTTGTAGGATGGTAGCCCTGGAGGACTGGAGTTGGTGACCCCTGGTCTAGTCAAATTTATTTTTTACTAAAATAAATTTTAGTAAAAAAGCTGCAATAGAGAGATCTGACCAGCGCAGCACGTCTGGTTCTTTCTTTGAAATAAATGGTTTGATCATTTCTGTCTGATGTGTTGAAAGATTCAGTATTTTATCTGTTTGGTGGTGAAGAGTCATAAAGTCACGACTTTACTCGTATTTAAACAAAGCAGAGGTCTCACTCTGGCCAGGAAATAAAACACTTCGCATCTTTTCTGACAAGGTGGAATTTGAACAATGATCCTGCACATTTTGCATATAAATGTTAGAACAATAAATAT